ATTACACTGGCTCGCTTTTTGTTTTATTTGCTTTTCTAGACAGGGGCTCACGCTGTAGCCTTCAGTTCTTGATCCACCTGGCGCGGCCTCCTGAGCACCAAGGCTGCAGGAAAGCAACACCATGCTTCTTACGGGCAGTTTTCTGCCCTACTATGCCAAGCCCCTTCCTGCCGCAAGATCCCTGAACAAGTTGCTCCTGTTGTCTGAAACGTCCCTCCCCTCCCCCATCACCTACGTAACTCAGCCTTATCCTTCATACTTTAGGTCAACGGTCAGTCGATTCCCTCTAGACCAGCCCCAGCCCCAGTTTAGGGGAAAGGCCCCAGGACGCGTTCTCATCTAATTACGAACTCCTCCTTTGTTGTGTCTCTCTCAGTCATTATTGCATTTGCTAGCATAACAACTTGGTTACTATCTGCTCCTTCTCCCTTGCTGTAAGCGTTGTAATTTTAAAGACGCTGTGAAGGGAAGTCACACCGTACAACAGGACTCACATAGGAGGTTTACTGGAAGAGGAGGGTGAAGGCGCAGACAAAGGGGTGGACACCATCGGTCCCTGGGGACAAGAGTGGATGAAGAGAGAGAAAGAGAGAGAGAGAGAGAGAGAGAGAGAGAGAGAGACAGACAGACAGACAGACAGACAGACATGGGAGGTGGGCAGGGACCTTTTAAAAGGGAATGCACAGATGGTGCTCTTAGTAGCTGCAGCTGAGGGCGTATCCTGTCAGAACTCCAAGGGCAGGCCAGTACAGACGCCTGAATACTAACAGTAAGTTTCCTGAGAGCAAGAACGAAGTCTGTTTATTGCTAACCAGTAGGTCGGTCGACAGTGCTTACTGCCATTGTGTCTGCCTCTCAAGTGTGTGAGAAACATTTGTTGAGTCAAATGTTAGTACTATGGAGACCTAACACTACTAAAATGCCACTAGTATGTTGTAGTTTTCATTTTTGGTGGAAAACATAGCTTACCTGTTACATTCAAGTTCTTCGGGCCACCGGATCCCAAACGTGTCCATTAAGGTTTTGCAGTCAGAATACACTTCCTCACATAGTTTACGGCAAGGGGGAGCCACGTGGATCTGCTCCGTGCAGGGTGGTACGAAAGCGTGGCAAAGGAATATTTCAACGTTTGGTGAACATTCAAGATTTGCAACAGGCAGAAAGTGCTATTAAGAAAAAAAAAAAAAAGGAAGAAACCGTTAGAAAAATGTCAGTCACAAATGCTTAATGCTTAAAGCATTTATTGTTTTACTTACCCTCCAAATGAGTCTGTCTTTACCTCTTTCTTTCAATATGTTTCTTTTTTTTTTTTTCCAAGACAGGGTTTCTATGTGTAGCCCTGGCTGTCCTGGAACTCACTCTGTAGACCAGGCTGGCCTCGAACTCACAGAGATCCACTTGCCTCTGCCTCCCAAGTGCTGGGATTAAAGGCGTGCGCCACCAACGCCTGTCCCCCATGATTAAATTTTGAGGCAGTAACTTTTTAGTCTGTTAGGTTTATGTATGAGTCCTTCACACAAGATGGAAATTATCATTTTGTAGGTCACACCTTGGTATTTTAGAAGGCATGCTTTGTCACTGTTCACTCGTCCTCTGCACAGACATTCAGCATTCAGTTATGTTTTACAAGAGACATCTCTGGGTAGCAGACACTGCTCTAGGCTCTGGGGATACTGCAGTGAATGGAACAGAGTACCTTCCCTTGTTTAATTTAATCCTAGTGGTAAAGGCAAATGTTAAACCGTCGGTATCTCACAACTTCTTAGATACAGGTAAGGACAAGCTACTGTAAGGGGGTGGAAGGAGGCCATGTTTTGGATATGGAGGTAGAGAATGTCTGTCCAGGTGAGCAGACTTGGGGGGGGGGTGTTCAGAAATCACGACTGTGGCAGATGCAGAAGGAACACTTGTGACAGCCACCACACTAAGTCCAGCGGTAAATTCCGAGTCTTTATTCTATTTACATCACCAACTGACACAGTTCCTCTTTCTGAACAGTTTTCCTTTTGTCTTACAGGACATTTGTAATGATGAATCTTTCCGCCAAGCCGCCCGAGCCCCGTCACCACATGGTCGCCCAAAATAACACACAGAGACTTATACAATGCTGCTGGCCAATGACTAGGATTTCTTATCTGCTAGCTCAGTCTTAATTATCAACCATAACTATTAAACTATAGCTTTTATAAACTTATCTTATTGAGGACGCCGGCAGAATGCATCCTCTCTTGTTGGGCTCACATGGTGGCTCCAGAGCAGAGAGGGGGAGAAAGTGGAAGAGAGCGATTTCCTGCTTGTCCCTGCTTATATTCTGAGTCTGCCTGCTATGTCACCTTCTGCCTGGATCACAAGACTTCTTTTTACTACATTTCCCAGAATCCTCCTCGACTCCTAGTCACACCTATCTTGCTTCCCTATTGGCCAACAGTGCTTTATTTATCAACCAATAAGACAAACATTTACAAAGAAGGACCTCCCCCATTAGATACTAATTAGTTTTTGGTTCCTACCCACCGCACCGTCTCCTCTTCTGATCTTCTGTTTGTTGATTATAAATAGAGAAAAGGCCTCTTGTGCCAGAACGCTGCTCCGGGGAAACATACCAGGAGTGAACAGCTGCTTCTGACAGCTCCATTTGGCTGTCACTAAACACCCTGCATTCAGTCCCTCTACGACACACCTCAGCCCCTCTGTTCTCCAAACAGTCTCCTGTCGTCACAACCCACGATGCTCAAGCTATCAGGACAAGAGTCTTGAGATTCACTCTTTACTTTTTCTTTCATTTTATATCCAGGCGGTCAACAAATCCTACAATTCTTCCTTCAAATTACATTTCGAATTTGACATTTCCTATGAGTACCACCCAGTCGGAGTCACTGTGTCCTTCCTAAGTCACTGCAGAGGACCCTGAAAGTCACTGTGTCCTTCCTAGGTCACTGCGGAGGACCCTGTGAGTCACTGTTCATCCTAGGTCACTTCAGAGGACCCTGTGAGTCACTGTGTCCTTCCTAGGCCCATACAGAGGACCCTGGGAGTCACTGTCCATCCTAGGTCACTGCAGAGGACCCCGAGAGTCACTGTGTCCTTCCTAGGTCACTGCAGAGGACCCCAAGAGTCACTGTATCCTTCCTAGCCCACTTTGAAGGTCACCTATGGGTTCCACTACACCCCATGCTTGCTAATCTTACATCCACACCAACCCATATTTCCACAAATGTGGTTCTTTAAGATCTAAGTTTGTCCTTGTTCAAGGGCTCCAACAGAACCGTCAGAGTCTTTGCCGAGTCCTACCGGCCTCAAACCCCTCACAATTGGTTCCAGGTCATCTCCTGCCACTTGCTCTCCTTTGCTTGACTTCATTCCATGGTGCTTCTGCCTCAGAGTTTTTATGCTTTGCCACAGTCGTGACTTCTCACCCCACTAGAGTCCGCTTATCTGTCACTGGAGAGGCATCCTCTGTTTCCAAAATTAAAACATTCTGTCTCCTTCCAACCCCTTACTGTAGCTTGTCCTTACTTATATCTAAGAAGTTGTGAGATACTGCGTTTCTTAACGTTTGCCTTTACCTCTAGGATTAAACAAGGGAAGGAGCTCTGTTCCATTCATTGCTGTATCCCCAGAGCTTACAGTAGTGTCGGCTATCCCACAATGTCTCATACATATATAACTGAATGATCAATGCCTATGAAGAGGACAAGTGAACAATGACAAAACGTTAGACCAGCAAAGAGAAGACCACAACTGTGTCCAAAGGAGGACATATGCAAATGGATTAAATTCTAAATATATGAAGATACATCAGAGGCTAGAAGGCAATAAAGAAATAATTCTAAAATTCAGACGGAAATTCACATTCAATACAGAATCCTATACCTAGCCAAATATTTAGGTTAGGGTAAAATAAGGATATTTTTGACCCTGGAAGGAATTAAAAAAAATTGACTTTCAAATTAAAGAGAACAGCATGTACAGAAAAACTTCTAGCAGCAGGTAGGAACAAATACAAAGACCCACAGCCCGACATTATGCAGAGTGAGACCTGGGAGGGTCTGTATCAGACAGCAACCCAGAGCTGAAAGGAAGAGTGGGCAGGTGTCACCGTCCCTAACCCTGAGATATCTCCAACAGATAACCACTTGCAAATGAAACTCTAGTTTCCTCCAAGGGATTCTCACTGGGGAAAACAAACCACTTTTTGTGTGTGTGTGTGTGTGTGTGTGTGTGTGTGTGTGTGTGTGTGTGTGGGGGGGGGGGGGCGTGACAGAATGGATATTTGTTTTTTTGGGGGAGTTTTGGAGGCTGTCCTGGAACTAGGTCTTATAGTCCAGGCTGGTCTCGAACTCACAGAGATACACCTGCCTCTGCCTCCTGAGTGCTGGGATTAAAGGCGTGCTCCACCAACGCCTGGCAACAAACCACTCTTAAGGGTAGGCCGCACGCCCAGCAGTAGAGGACCAACAGGAAATGAACTCTACAGCATCTGTGGAGGCTGCTTGTCTCATACTATCCTGTCAGGGCTTTCCTTTCTTCTTAAAATCTTTTTATCTTATTATTTTTATTTCATGTATATATAGTTTTTCTTCTCGATTTTTGCCTTACAGTCCCTTTGCATATGCATTACGGTTTCCAGCTTAGTGTTTTTATGGGGTTCCTGAGTATGAGAACAGTGGGTCTCTTTCTCATGCTTCTCTTGGACTCCTTTCCTTCTGTTTGCTTGTTTTGTTCTATTCTGAAGTGTTAGTTTGGGTTATATTATATTATATTGTATTATACTCCCTTAGAGCTTGTTTGTTTTCTAACGAGAGACAGAGAGGGGCTGGATCTGAACAAGAGAGGACGTGGGGAGGAACTGGGAGAAGTAGAGAGAGGGGAAACCATAATCTGGATATTTTGGGGGAGGGGTGGTTCGAGACAGGGTTTCTCTGTGTAGCTTTGGAGGCTGTCCTGGAACTCACTCTGTAGACCAGGCTGGTCTCGAACTCACAGAGACCCGCCTGCCTCTGCCTCCCGAGTGCTGGGATTAAAGGCTATAATCTGGATATATTATGTGAGGGGAAAAATCTATTTTCAATAAGTGCTGGGAGTAAAGTATGTAGCATTCCTGAAAGACACTGATGGAAAGAATGACGAAGGAAAATGGTAGAGGACACAGGACTCGGGTGCTGAAGAGGGGGACGGGACGCTCAGCAGCACAGAGCGGTCAGAGCATCAGGAGACAGAAGGACGGAGGAAAGTGCCCTGGGAATGAGAGTGCGACACTGGAACCAACAGGTTATGGGGGCTGGGGATATAGCTCAGTTGGCTGAGTAAGGTCCCAGCGGTGGGCACACCAGGTATGGTGTCTTGTAAACTCGGGGCCCAAGAACTGGAGGGAAGAGGGATCAGAAGTTCAAGATCATCCCCGGCTACACAGTGAGTTTGAAGCCAGCTTGGGCTCCATGAAGCTCTGTCTCAAAACTAAAGCTCTGAGAAGAAATAAAAAGAAACACACATGCAAAGCAGGTTGAAAATACCTGGGGCACCTTGGGAAATTGATGCTTGGTGTCTGGCAAGACTATTGAGACATCTGAAAGAGTCAGCCTTATGTACGGAAAGCATGGGAACTGGGGTGGGGGGGAATGCAGTTATTGTATTAACTGGGGGAGACAGTCAAGAGGTAAAATATACTTTTTGACACAGCG